TTTTTTTTTTTTTCTTTATCGCAAAATTTGATTTGGATTCTTCTACCTAAAAAAAAAAAAAAAAAAACAGGAAACCACGTAGCGTGGATTTAGACGTAGAGCACGATAAGTTACTGGCAATCACTGTCGGGTGATTGTTACGAAACGCGGACGGTCGTCATCCCCTGAACTCGGTATCCGCCCTGCTCGGGGGCATTTTTCATCGTTCGACAGACTCGGCGAGTTTTTCTCTTTTCACCGGCGGCTGATAGTAACGCCGGAGCTCGGTAGTAACGAGTAGATATAAAGGTAGCGGCAACCGGAAGATAATAGAAGCTGGCCGGCCTCCCGGGTGCCGTTAATCATCGGGGATGAGGCCCGGTAGTACACGCGGCTAGCGGGTACGAGCACGACGCGAAACCACAGGGATACGACGCTGTGCCGTCGCGTGGTATGGGTGAGAGAAACCGGGAGGTTATGGCGTTAGATGGCCAGTTGCAAGGGAAACGGAAGTGACCGCACGCCAGCCCAATAGGTATCCCGTGGGGCTCGCTGATGGACGTTGGCTCGCCGCTCGCTCGCTCACTCGCCCGCGTTTCTTCCTCCGCCGTCTTGCCACCACCTCGCAGGCTTTCATAGCTTAATTAATCACTACAAATCGCGTTCGAGTTGAACGCGCCTGTCTATTCATGCGGCTGTTTCGCCCTCTTGATTTAATTACCGAGGCCTCGCTTGATTATCTCGTTGACCGCTTCATCGACACTGGACTTTAGAGACTTTAGAGGGGCGTTTATAGCTTTAGAACCCTTCCTCTTCCCCTTTGGACCGCCTTCTGCGCCTTTTCTGCCCTCCGTGGTAAATAGAGGCCTCCGGTTTATCGCGTTATCAAATCACCCTGTTCCATTTAAATTTAATAATATTGTCAATAAAATTTGAATAACTTCCAATTGCCGAGATTCGAGTCGGGTATACGGTTGAACTGTTGTAATTATATAAAAGAAAACTGTACAACGATAATATTTTGAACTTCGAAGCTTCTACTTCCAAATATGCATATTTATAGTGCATATTTCGAAATACATATTTATAATTCATTTCGTTTCAATTGTAAGATGTTAGCGAAGCGAAGATATTTTTCTTCTTGAAAGTGCTATAAATTGTCATGGTATGTAGAAACATTGAACTATATTTTTTCCAACTAGAAGATTAGAGCTTCTCCTTTACAACGACCCCTGAAAACTTGATGTGTGATATTTTTTCTGTCATTTCATTGAACTTTGAATGTTGGACTCGGATGACGAGATCGTAACAGTTCTCCTTGACGTTCAGTTGCGTTTAATAAATTGGCGAAAGAAGTATAGAAAGTTCTGATTGTTACAAAGAAGAGGCTTCGATCTTCAAGTTCATCGTACATTCAGTCATGAAAAAAATGTTTACACACTCTTCTGAGAAGAAAAATTATCGTCATTCGTCCACTATGTAATGTAAAAACTCGCCGTGTAACGTGAAGAAAGATTTTAGAATAAAGTGAAACTCGAGTTATGAAATTTTGTTTATCATTGCGCGTTGATTTCTTTTTTTTTTTTTCAAAAAAATCACAACAGTTTTGAAACATTAGTGGCAGTTACTGGTACACTGGTGGTTCATCTTCACGGATACGAAACTATTTCCGTCGAGTTCGTTTGTAGGATGTTTTCGTGAGCTGCGAGGGTAACTTGAGGCAGTCGATGCCCGATGACAGTCCAACTGACGGAAGCACGGAAAATCCATCGATTCCATTCGATCCACGGATAAGAATACCCTTCGGAAAAACAACATGGGGATTCCGCAAAACCGAACCGTAATTACAGCCAGCTTCGTTAACGGCTAAGTGGAAAATCATTGAAAATACGATGGTCGCGACGTTTGCGCGATTTTTCCCGAGTTCTCGTGGCAAGAAGTCTGCGCCGTTTCTTATGCGCGGTGAAGAAGCCGAGCAGAGAACGACGCGTCGGTCGTTGCGTTGCATCGCGTGCGAAAGTTTTTTTTCCGCGGAGAGAGCGCGGTGCGGTCAGCAGCTGCGTGGCGCGAAGTGCTCGCAGGCCGTGCAGCGACAAGGTAAAAGGGCGTGAAATTAAATATCAGATGTTGACAAATTGCGAGGAGGCGTCACGGCAACGGATATTAATGACGCGCAGTAGAAAAACCGCGTAAACCCGCTCCGCCCTCTCTTTCTTCGGCTTACAGCTGCGGATGAAG